CACTGACCCTCCACCTTTCCAAGCACAAGGTGAGAATTCTCCCACTGAACCACCACTGTCCTCTAGCCATCATAGTAAGTACCCAATAAACAAATTAATAAGTCCACAATGAATAATACAGAGAACAACACACAGCACATTTGTCAAGGACCTTAATTTACGAAGCACTTACACAGGCCTCCTCTCGTTCAAATTGGACATGTGAAGACATGAAGCCTCTAACACATTACATGACCTTCCAAGTCTATCCAGGTAATATCCAAGTCTATCAGGTGCCACCTGGCACCTGATTTTTATTTTTTTTTTCAAGAAAAGAAAACAAAACCACAGAAGACTGCCATTATTTTCTTTTCTAACAATTACTCCTATAATATTTTAAGGACATACAATATTTTCTTGTCCCAATCTACCACCCCCACTCCCAAAACAGTCACATCATAATAAATCTCATACTTCTGATGTCTAGAAGTAAAAAATAAAATAAAATAAAAATAGCAGTTAGGCACTCAAGTAAAGTCCAAATAATATTTCCCTAGGTGGCACAAATGGTTAAGCAGAAAGCATTAAGCACCTAGAGGGAGCTCTGAAGACAGGTCTAGAAATGTTTAGGAAATGTCACAGCCTTGAAAACCCTCTAGAGCTGTTCACTCAGCATAAGCAGGGTCACCTATATAAATCCACATGATGGCAGCTAGCAACAACATTTTCTTTACTGGAAACAAGTTCCTTGCAACGAGGGGCCATTTTCAATTTATTTCTGCATTGCTCTCCCAGTGCCTGGAGTACTTACTAAACCACACATGAGAAAGATCTAGTAAATATCACTTATGAAACAAATTCAATTCTATAACATGAAATGTTATGTTATATCATCTTCAACAAGCTAAACATATAATTAAGAGGCACAAGTTGCAAATATTTTTTCTTTAACCCATCAGAGGAATATCAAGTGGTTCCCCGGGTTCTGTCACAGCTCTGAGCCAGTCTTCTAATCGTATATCACTGCTTTGCAGGAGGCTGTGGGAAGCTTCTATAATCAAGGTTAACCAGAAACAAAAGGAAGGTCTCTTCCCTGGCAGCCAGAAGTGACCTTGCTTCAAATGTTTAAAACCTAACTCTGAACAACTGCTGGATAAGGCGGAGGGCAGAAGATGCTGAGAAATAATGGGCATTTTAAAAGGCGTCTCCTTCAGCCTCAGTAATAGGTCTTCTGTAGAGTTCTGAGAACAGAATGTTAAGGATGAGAATCTTTTTTCTTTCTCCTTAGTGGCCTGGCAAAGACCAGGTAGATAACAGTTAAACTGAAAAAGCAAATGCACAGAAAGAAGTCAAGCATTTGGTATGGTTCACTTCTTCCATTTCCTGGGGACCTGGAGCTGACGACACAAGAAAGCCCAAGTTCCCTTCCAAACAAATAAGGCCTTAACTACCAACAACTTGGCCAAAACTTGGATCTCATCAATAGAAGCACAAATTTTCCGTACCTGTCAGAAGCAAGAGTGGCATCCACTTCCTAAACAACATGCCTCCGGAAACTCTATCAACTTTGATAAATGTCTATGGTTATAGAAAGGCCAAAGCCTTTTGCTCATAGGGTTGCTATGAGTTCTGCTCTACTCCAAGGAAATACACAACAGTGGAAAAACAAAACCCAAACTTTAACGACTGGTACTTAATCACTGTCAAAATGTACAAACTCTGGATTTCTGAGTGGCAGACAATATAATTCCATCCTTAGGAACTGACAACAAAGATAGCTGTACCTTTACTCACGTATTTAAGTAGTAAAAAGTGAGAAGCTACTATAAACCTAAATTGTCCCCTTCTAGCCAGGGCTATGAGAATAGTTGCTTACCTGGTGTATCTAAATCAAGGTTTAAACCCATTCACTTAAGTTCAACCTATGGTAAGAATGTATCTTTTCACCCCAGACATACTGTATCAGAATCTGTACTTTAACAAGAGCCCTCCTAATGTCTACATAAAACCTACTTAGGGATCTTGTTAAAATACAGATGCTGATTCAGTATGTCTGGGATGGACAAGCAATATCTCAGCAGGACACTGAACTAGAATGAACTGATTAGGAACTCTGCTCTAATCCAAGCTCTGGCCACTTCCTTGGCACTTATCTCTTTTGTTGTCTTGATATCAGTCAGACTGTATCATTCCAACAACATAGAGCTGGTGTGATAGAAAAGCAAGCAGGTGGTCTGAAAGGCCACAGTATAAATCTATAACCCGCAAATGCTCTTGTGGGTGCTCATGGTTATATATTGTCCACAGCACACTTACCATAATCTCCTTAGACTAAAGGACTCATTAAAGCCCAGGCTCCTGATCTTGCAGAACGGCTGCACAACCCCAATATTCTCACCAAAGGGAGGCTTGGTGCAACCTCTCTAGCTACTTCCCAAAGCTTTTCTTTCGGGGACAAAAACTCCCACAAAACATTGAAGAGAGCAAACCATGTGACAAGCAAAACCTCAATCTAGGAGGCTTAGTAGATCCATGTGTATCATCCACCTAAGGTCAACCAGCCACCAGCCCAAGGTATAGCCTTTCATTTTTTGTCCTTGATCAAAACAGCAGCAGCCATTGCCAAGGTAAACAAGGTGACCCAGAGGCATGGGCACAAAATCCAGGGATGGAAATCTATTTTGTCTGGATCCACCCAAGCAAATAGGTTTCACTAACTGCGAGATGCTGGAAAAAGTACCATCTTTGCATGATGTACTTGCCAGGCAGGTAGAAAACTCCCCAGTCTAAAAGTTCTAACTTGAACTTTCCAAAATATCCAAAGCATCCGCTTGCTTTGAGCTACACAGGGCTTTGGAAAAGAAAAAGGTAGCCTGGCTGCACGTAACTATGCCTCCACACAGTGCCACCCCCATCAAGATGCGGGGGGGGGGAACAAATCAAGGTTTCTTCAAGCTGTCATCAATAAAAGTCATCTTATCAAGCAAACATCCTCACTACCCACCTTCCTCCACCAGCTAACAGTGATTTAAGCAATCTGTTCCAAATTCACCCAGAAGTGCCTAAGTACTACAGCAGTAAGGGAACCAGACTCCTTCGGAATCTCAAGGCTGACAACCAAGCCTGATCACCTCTCTCTCCCAAAATCTGCTCAATTTTTAAAAATGTAGCAATCTTAAGCATAATTAACAGCCTTATCTATTTTCCACGAGTTGATTGGCTGCTTTTTTTTTAAGGACCTTATAAAACCATGTGAAAGTGCTTTGTAAATGGTCAAATACGTTCTACAGTACTGCTGGTATTGCTGTTATGAAACCATTTCTCTGCTTCAGCCCGTATTTGTCCTCAGAGCACCAGGCAGGTAAGGAGAAATGAGGCTTTGCAGACCCCTCTTCAGATGACAGAAGTAAAACATCCTCCCCCTCAACCACAGGAATAAAGAAGAATTCAGAATCAGAGCTGGGAGGCTCCCAGGTCTCTCTGGCCATCCCATCACACCACCTCCTCTGAAGTCAGTTCTGGCTCCTGATCACAGATCCAGCACACACTTCCCAGACAGCACCCGGCCTTCCCTCCTTCTTCATTGACTGGATCCACCCAGTTTAAAAAAAAATTATTTTTTAAGTCAGGGCTCCCACCATATGTGGCATTTATTTCCAGAGGAGGCCTGCCCTGGGCTCCCGTGGACAGATGTTGCTTTGTGCCTGGGCTGACACGGCTGGCAGCCCTTGCACAGCTGCCCCAAGCAGGTGGCCAAGGACGGAGTCGACCAGACCACTGGCCTTGGAGCAAGGACAGCAATGGTGCGCAGGTCCCGAGGGCCTCACTTTGCTCCTCTGCAGCATGGGACTCTCCAGAACACTCCTGTTGTCTCCCCTCCACACAAACACACAGAATCGGGCTCCAAAGGGGGTTGGGAGTGAGAGGCAGGATGCACCGTGCCGCCCCCACCTCAATTCCCAGCCAGAAACAGCTAAGTTTTGCAAAGGCCCTGGGGAGTGCAGAGAAGTCACTGACCCCTCTATCAGCCATCTGTGAGCTCCCCGCCCGACACAGCTAGCGCGATCCGGAGGATAAAGGAGGTTCAGACAGATGGCAAAGCGCTTTGGAAAGAAGGGCTCTGCAGGAATGCGAGGGCCTAGGCGAGGCCCACTTTGGGGTGCGGTATTTTTGGTGTGTTATTTTGTGGGTTTTTTTGTTTGTTTTTTGTTTTTAATCTGGCTAGCTCTGTTGGGCATCAACCTGCAATCTCTTAGGAGAGCAAAACCACTCACGCTGGGAGCTTGGGGGTGCACAGTAAGACCCTAACCTACCACTTACCTCTCCCATTTCAAAGTCAGAATATTGCACAGCAACTAAAGTGCGTGCGTGCGTGCGGAGGGGGTGGGAGACTGGCACCACGGAGTCTAAAAATACTCAGTAAAAATGCTAATCCCGAAGGCAAACAGAGAAAGAAGAAGGAATCTGTCAATCACGAGCTCCGTCTCCTCACCCACAGCCCCAGCTGTACCGACTGCATTCCTGCTGAAGAGGAAAGGCGAAGGGGACAAGTCAGAAGAAAGGGAGACACACCGCCACCTCCAGGAGCGCGGGCCGCGGGGGCGGGAGGCGGCGGCAGAGGAGGCGCTCGGGCCGCCGGGCCGAACAAAGCGGGCCTCAACTTCCAGCCCGCAGAGCCCGGGGGTGGGGGCGGCCATTCCAACAGCAGCACACACACACACCCCCTTTCCGGGAGGTGGAGAGTGAGCCGGGTCTGAAGTCAGAGTACGCCGCGGAATCCCCAGGCTCTGAATCCTTGCAAAGCCAGAGAGGGTTTTGTTTGGGGTCCCTTCGTGCTCTCCCGAGCCCCCCTCCCACTCTCCCTACATACTCACTCACTCACTCTCTCTCTCTCTCTCTCTCTCTCTCTCTCTCACACTCACACACACACACACTTTCCCACCCTTTCTCCCTCCTGTACACGCACTGAGCGGACCCAGCGCGTCAGGGGGCTGGGCCCGGCGCACCCCCCGGGTCCCCACCTGGGGATGGTGATGCACTTGGTGTTGACGTTCTGCGTGGTGATGGCCTTCTCCAGCTCGTCCAGCTGCCCCGTCTTCTTGAGCTTCTTGACCAAGCTCTTGACTGCCTTCTCGCACCACTTCTCCTCCTGCCCGTTCTGCTCGCCCTTCTTCCAGCCCAGCAGGCGCTTCACGATCGGGGGGGTGAAGGGCAGGATGGACGACATGGCTGTGAGGGGTAGGGACGCGCAGGCGGCGAGGGGCGCCCCCGGCGGGGCTGGCAGCGGCGGGACGCCGGGGGCGCGGAGGAGAGCTCTGCCCGGGCCGGCCGCAGCCGCGCAAACTTCGCCTCAACTCCCGGCCAACTTTGCCGTGCGCTGGGCCGAGGCGCGGCGCTGCAGCCTGCGGGGCTCGGCGCGCGGCCCTGCGCCCTGAGCGGCTCCCACAGCCGGAGAAGGGAGGCCGGCGGGCGGCCAGGCAGGCGGTCAGACGAACCACAGCGGCGCCGGCTCCGGCAGGCCCCGAACGCGGGGCGGAGGCGGCGGCAGGGAGACTCGGAGTGGCAGAAAAAAGTTTAGGTTTCCGCACGGGGTAGCTGTTTGGGTGCCGCCTCCGGGAAGGAAAGTCCAGCCCCCGAGCCAAACTTTGCTCTCCTCGCTCGCTTTGATGCGCAGATCCCTCCGCCTCCCGGCTTCCCTCCTCCTCCCCGCTCGCTCGCTCCCCGAGCCGCCCGGTGCCTGCGCCGAGCTCCCGCTCCCGCTCCCGCTCCCGCTCCCGCCCGCTCCCAGTCTGTGTTTCATGCAAATCCGCGTGCAGCCTCCTTCCCAAACGCTGTCACCGCCCCCTCGCCGTTAGGGCCCCCGCCTCCTCCTCCGCGCCCCACCGCCTCCTCCCCCTGGTGCCCTGCCCGCCCCCTGCTCTGGGAGGGCGCCGGCCTGCCCCCGCCCCGCGCTGCGCACGCCCACGTGGGCGACTCGGTCTGCTGCGGCCCGGGCTGGAGCGTGCGGGAGTCAGCGCGGCCCGGGTTCTGAGGCCGGCGGGTTGGGGGAGGAAGTCGTGGGAAAGGGGCGGCGAAAAAGACCCCAGGCGCGCAGCCCCAGCCTGGGCCCGGGCGTCCACTTTCGGAACCCACACTAGACAGCTTAGTTGGAGTTGTGGCCCGGAGAGGGTTAGACTCGCAGCAAGTTGGCGCCGTCCCGCCAAGGACTAAGCGGTGCCCCCTTGAGAACGGGGGCCTAAGAGGGGGCGCCCACAAGGCCGAGGTCTCAGAAATCGAGGGCGCGCGTTCGACCGCGCTCGCGCTGATCCAGGTCAGAGGCCTTGGCCGGCGCCAACGACCCTGGCGTTGTTTTCATTCTCTCATCGGTGAGATCACACGGGCTCAGCGTCCCAAAACTGTGTGTGAAGGCGGGATTGGAGGGGCAGGGGGTAGAATAGGGGGAAGACTCCCCAAGTGGAGATCTGAGGATCCCGGCGACTCCCTGACTCTTAACTGGAGCCCGGGGTGCCTGGAGCCTTGTTATACCAACAGAAAAGGCCCTCTATAGTGCTCCGGAAGGAATGAATGGAGATGCTTTCAAATTTACCTTGGGGGGAGGGGGGAATGTATTACAAGGTGTTGTGAATCTTACTATACTAAAAGATTTGAAATTCGACACTCAGAAAATGAGAAACAGACTTGTTTTCAAAGCGGGGACTCGGAAAAAAAGTGCGGTTAAAGTTCGTCTCTGTAAGGTTTCTAGTCCAGGTTAGCTTGGGTGAAAGCAAAGAAGCCGTAGAGGTGCTGGAGAGCGCTGGGGCTTTTCTCCCCACTTGCAGGATTCAGTCAGGGACATCTGCCCACAGACCCCACAGCCACTATCACCGATTTGTGAGCGTCACCACAGCTTCCACAAACCCTTGGCTTCCTTCCCCCACCCCACCCCTGGTGGAGTGTCTACGGCCTTTGTTTGTTTTTAACAGCAGGAAACCCCCGTGGTGAGAAAGAAGTTATCTCACAAACCTAACAGGTGAGAATTACAAAGGCCAGTGGAGCGTGGCCCAATCCACAAAGTCAGCCCAGAAGCTGTAGGGGCCCTAGCCCTGCAAAGCCTCACACCAACCCATGGCCTTAGGCAAACCCATGGTTCTTTTCTGGACATGTAGTTCCTGCCTTACCCCTCCTTCCTTGCCTTTTGTCTGCTTGGACCTTAAGCCCTAAACTTCCAAAGGGAGGTTAGCAATCTGATTGAAGGTCCTGGCAGGTCCTGCTGTTGTAACCAACTGCCAGTGAACTAACTCTAAAGTGTCACTCCCTTCTTAAAGTCCTGTTTCCCCATGGAGAAAGGAAGAAGGCAATCTATATATTTTTTTTCAAGCCTCTTAGCACAAATCAACTCTCTTGACTTTTAATCTTCACAACAACCCTGAGATTGGGCTCACTGTGCCTCAAAGTTACAGAGGAAGAACCTGAAGCCTAGAGAGACTGAGACTGTAGTGCAGATTTGAACCCTGTGCTTTGTGAGACCTCAGTCCACATTCTTGCCACTGCGCCCAGCTGCCCTAGAGCTTTGTGGAAGACAAAAGTGGCATCACTGGTAGAATTCTACAAAACAGAGGTGGTTTATAGGAGCAGATTGTTGTGACACTGCAAGAAATGTTTGCTCACCTGCAAAACAAGCCTAGCTGTCAGCCTCAAGGAATGGTTTGTGGGGGCCTAAAGAGAAAAGCTTTACAAGTGCTGCAAACAAGAAGAACCAGCATCTTGGGCCCACTGCTAATGCCCTTAAGAGAGGTGCAGGTGAAGGAGTTCAGTTGATTTCGTTCGGCATCTTTTGAACAACTTTGTGTTGCAGACATGTGGAAATGTCCAGTGAAAAATGAAAGCACTCCCCCATCCTCAAAGAGGGAAGGACTGTGATCGTCTCCCAATAAAACAGCTCATTTGCTTGGATATCAGACCAAGCAAGTCCCACTTTTGAGAGATAGCCAGATGGTGTAAAAGGAGGCCATGGGACACCTGGCTTTGAATCCTTCCTCTCTCGCTCCCTTCACCTAACTAGGCATCCATTCCCTTGCATGTAAGTATAGACCTGCAGTACTTATTGAAGAAATGGGTGAATCTAGAAAGAGCGCTAAGAATGTTGTCCTTCAATGTTAGGTTCTGCTGAAAGGGAAGTGCTTTGGAAGCACAAAGCCAATACTAGAATTCTTGTCAGCTGTGTCCTCCCTCACCTAAGAGAGATTTGAGGCCTAACTGTAAGGGAAGAGCCTTGGAATGTACCCCAACCCTTGTGGGAAACCTTTTTCTAATCACAGCACGTTGGAAAGGGCCCTTCCTCAGCCTTCTCATTTTCCTGATGGGAGGAAGCTAGTCAACCATCTAGTTAGTACCACTAAGGCTGCCACACCAACTGTGCTTCTTCATTGTGCTGGCTTCTGTGTGACAGGCAGGGACAGCTGTAAGTGCAGCAAAACTGCGAGCACAAAGATAATCTTTTTCTCCTGGCCTCAATTTCTCTATTGAAAGAGCTGGGAGACTAAGGCTAGTTTCTGCAAAGTTTAGATGTGAAATGGAGAGCTGTCCTGCATGCTGGCTTAGCTTCTAGTAGTGAATGAGTGGGCAGCTCCCGATGGATAACAGTCTGTTTTGGCACCTGGGTTCCTGGGGCCTGGCCAGGCTGGCTTCTGCAGAGGTTGCCCTTAGAAGAGAAACATCAACCCTGTTAATATTTCATCCTGGTGAGTGCAAAGTTCAAGAAACGGGGGCAGAGGTGGAGGTGGGACTGTGTCCCTGGAGATGGATAGTCCTATCTGGGAGGAGCTTCCCAAGCTGCAAGGGGACATGCAGAAAAGGCTTTCATGTATTTGGAGTAGCTCCCAGGTGTCAGATTGGGGAAAACACAAACATCTGACTTCAATTCTAATTATTTTCCCATTACTAAAAGAATATTTAATAGAGTGATGAATCTCAAATGAGCATTAAAGTTGTTCTCCTTGAGTGCAGGCTCCTCATTTCACAGAGGTGAAGGGAGGTGGTTTGCACTGTGGGAGTGATCAGCATCAGAGCTTTCTTCGGGCTCTGTCCCCTTATCCAAGCCAGAAAAGGGGGTGGGGGTGAGTGTATGCACTCCTGCACAGGACCTTCTGTGGCAGCTCTAAACTGGCTTGAGCTTCTAGCTCAGCTTCTTCTAGCTCTGTAACTTCAGGCAAGTATTTAACTGTGTGTCTTAGTGTCCTAATCTTTAAAATGGGAGTAATAATAGCACCATTCTCTTAGGATTGTTGTGTTATTGTTGTTGTTGTGTACTGTCATGCCAGGATCTATAGCTGACCCTCCTGTGGGTTTTCAGAGGCAGTTAATCACATGGGAGGAGATTGGACAGTACATTGTCAGAGAACTACCAGAAATACTGGCTGGGTTTAGAAGAGGTTGTAGTACTAGGGACATTATTGCCAATGTCAGATGGATCTTGGCAGAAAACAGAGTACCAGAAGAATGTCTTGTGTTTCATTGACTATGCAAAGGCATTTGACTGTGTGGATCACAATATACTGTGGCTAACCTTGAGGAAAATGGGAATCTCAGAACACTTGATCGTGCTTATATGAAACCTATACTTGGACCATGAAGCAGTCCTCAGAACAGAGCAAGGTAGCACTGCATGGTTCAAAATCAGGAAAGGAGTGCATCAGGTATTCAGCCTGTCCCCATAACTTTTCACTCTGTATGCAGAGCAGATAATTCAGAAAGCAGGACTTTATGAGAAGTGTGGCATGAAGACTGGAGGGAGACTTACTAACAACCTACAGTATGCAGATGACACAACCTTGCTTGCTGAAACTGAAGAAGAACTGAAGAAAGCACTTGCTGCAAAAGGTCAAGAACTATAGTCTTCAATATGGATTGAAACTCAACATTAAGAAGACAAAGATTCTCACCACTGGGCCAATTGGCAGCATCATAATAGATGGAGAAGAGATTGAGATTGTTAACAATTACAGCTTGCTTGGATCCACAATCAGCACTCAACACTAGCAGTCAGGAAATCAAAAGATTAATTGCATCAGGAAAATCTGTCATGGACCTCTCTAGAGTGCTGAAGAGCAACAATATCAGTATAGATACAAAGATGTACCTAATTCAGGCCATGGTCTTCTCAATTACTTATTATGCTTCAGAAAGTTGGACAATGACTAAGGAGGACAGAAGAAGACTCGAAGCCTTCAAGTTGTGCTGCTGGAGAAGAGCCTTGAACATACCTTGGACCGCCAAGAAAGCAAATAGGTCTGTGTTGGAGAGTGTGAAACCAAGTCTCTTCTTAGAGGCTAGGATTTTGAAGCTCTGCCTCACTTACTTTGGGCTTATGGCCAAGAGAGACTGATCCTTGGAGAAGGACATCATGCTCAGAAGGTTGGACAGAAAGCAGAGGAGAGGGAGACCCCAGATGAGATGGACTGGGGCAATGGG